AAAAAAAAAAAAATCCTTCTGCCATTTTTCCCCCATAATTTTATTGAGAAACAAATAGCAATGAGACAGTTTCAAACCAAGTTGTAGGACAAGTTGAAGTTTCAATAATCTTCTGCCATTAAAAAAAAAAATTAATGCACTGGAGACTTAAAAATAAAAAAGAATCAATAAATTGAAATAAATTGAAGAGTTGGTTCTTTGAAACATTAAATAAAATCTACAAACCCTTATCCAAGAAAATACTCAAATCCATGCAAAGAGTGAAAACCCAATGGACCCTGAAGAAATCCAGAAGATAAACTATACCTATTTGGAGAACTTGTATTCTAATACGATGGAAAATACAGAGAAAATGGACAGATTCCTAGATAAATACGAATTATCCAAACTAAATTCAGAAGATACAAAAATCCCAAATAAACCAGTATCAATGAAATCAAAGATGCAAAAAAAAAAACAAAACAAAACAAAACAAAACAAAAAAACTACCAACAAAGAAAAGCTCAGGTCCTGAGGGATTCGCTGCTGAATTCTACAAAAAATTCAGAGAACATCTAATACCACTACATCTAAAAACTCTTTAATGAAATTGAAAGGAAAACAACACTCCCAAATTCATTCCTGGAGGATACCCTGATACCAAAACCAGAGAAGGATCAACTAAGAAAGAGAATTACAAACCAAACCCCCTTACAAGCATAGATGCAAAAATCATCAATAAGATACTGGAAAACAGAATGCAGCCAATCATGAAGAGGATTATATATCATGACCAAGGTGTTCACCAAGGTGGATGCAGGGACCACTCAACATATGTGAATCAAAAACATAATATGCCATATTAACAAAAACATCTCAATAATCATCTCAATAATGCAGGACAAACTTTTGATAAAGTTGATAAAGTCCAACACTCATTCATGATAAAAACTGTACAGAAAATCAAAATACATGGTCTTTACCTCAATCTGATAAAAGCCATCTATGACAAACCAACAGCCAACATCAAACTAAATGGACAAAAACTAAGTTTTCTTT